CCCCTCACTACAAGAAGGACATTGGGTTGCTAGAACATGTCCAGAGAAGGGCATGATGATGATGAGGGGGTCTAGAGAATAAGTCCTATGAGGAGTGGCTGAGGGAACTGGGGTTGTTCAGTCTGGAGGAGGCTGAGGGGAGACCTTATCGCTCTCTACAATTACCTGAAATATTAGGAAAAATGTCTTTACTGAGAGGGTGGTCAAACACTGGAACAGGCTGCCCAGGGAGGTGGTGCAGTCACCATCGCTGGAAGTGTTCAAAAAACATGTACACGTGGCACTTCAGGAGATGGCTTAGTGGGCATGATGGTGTTGGGTTGATGGTTGGACTTCATGATCTTAAAAGCCTTTTCCAACCTTAGTGATTCTGTGATTAATGTATTTACATGATTAACGTCAAAATAGTTTCTTGCAATGAAACTCAAAAGCATGTTTGGAAAATTAAATTAAGCATATTTAAGCCTTCTACCTCCCACAGACAGTCAAATCTTTTGCACCCAGTGAATGTCTTCTAGAAGAGCAATTTTTTTTTAACTTTTTTTTTTTATTTCTCCCCTTGTATTCACATCATGCAAACATCTGACAGGCCAGTAAAACTGGTTCATAACACTGGCCAATTCTATGTTAGAGAATTTTTAACAAATCATTAACATTTTATTTTTTAAAAGGATAGAGTGTTCTCATTAAAACTAGAGTTGTATGAACAAAACACAAAAAATCTTACAGCTTAGCTTTGTTGAAATTCTAGCTGCCATCTACTGACTGACTTTCATCTTCTTCTTCCAGAGAATAAAAGGAGGAAAGCAGGACAAGATCTGGTGGTCCCTAATGGGCTAAGTGCCTTGTCAATCAAGTTAAGCAATGTTTGGTCTTCAGTGTAAAAAAAGAGGATGGAGCTAGGAGACAACTATATCATTACCATCATGAAGTGTGTACTTTGCTTTCCCCCAAGCAGCATAAATACTTGTAGAACCAGATAATACCAAGAAGCAATGAGGTGTGAAGTGATTAAGGGTCCTTCTGTCCCGTCATTAACACCAGTCCATGCAGCACATGCACTCAGATAATACTGTTGCAACATATAACTTCGCTCCCTTTCCTCACATTTCTATTGGGACCGCGTTCAGCTATGAATACTTCAACCCTAGTTCCTGCAAAAACACTACGAGTATCAAAGCTTGTGCTCCAAATGTCTCTTTTGACACACTCTAACGCAGCTAAATTAAAACAGTTTAGGCAGGAATTTAGGGTATCCTCATCTCTGAACTTTTAAGACAACCTTGTAACTTGTCCCCCAAAAATCTCCTGCAATGTTCTTCAAGTGCAACAGATCAACAATGAAGCTGTGTGTGGTTATAGCCTATCTGGATACCAGAAGTTAGCTAATCAGTGTTAAGAACAAAAAAAACCCTATTAAAAACTATTGAGTTTACCTCATAATATTGGAGGCATCTTCAGCATCTGGGTCAGCGCAGTATTTATTGGCAAGGATTAGGCACGCATCTGCTGACTCTATCTGAGACACCAAAGAAAAAAGCAAACATAAATAGCAATCCCTCTTTCCAGCTCTTCTTTCATCATAAAGTATTAGGGAATCCAACACTGCCATCATGAGTGTGAACGTCAGTTCTTAATACTACTAATCAAAAACATTACAAGGCTAACGTGACAACATCAGTCATGATAGCAGTTCTCCTGTACACAAAGCAACTTCTTGAAACTTGCTTAAAAGCCTCAGCCCAAGTCAGCAGTTCAACCATTGACTCTTACGTTGTATCAGCTAAGGCATGAAGGTGTTAATGGACATATAATTTGTAACCAGATACTGAAATGTTGACCCCTAAATCCATAGAAAGTTCCTGTTACATCAGTACAGTGCTCCCACAAGTCCTGCAGCTTTGTTTGGGAATTTAAGTCCCTTCCTATTAGAGACAGGAAGAGGCAGCTGAACTGATGATTTAGAGTCGGAACGCCAGTTCTAGAAAGCATGAGGAAGAGAACTGATCTGTTCGCAAGACCTCTATGTTCATGCAAATCTTAGCTCTATTTAACTCAAAGCAGATGACAAAAGTATTTTTCAGTGTATACCAAGACAAAGAAGGGTGCCATACAGAACATAAAATACCAAGACACAATTTTATGGTCATAATTATAACATTTTGTTCTGATGAACTGAAACACTGTTGTGGTGGGCTACAAACAGCGAAGCAATTTCTGCAGCCAAAATGAACAAAGGACATGATTAATACGCCAGAAAGTGTTAGCATTGCACTAAAATATTATTGGCTTAATGGCTTAAATAGCCAGTTTAGATTCCATTAAAAAACAACCAAAAAAACCCCCAAAAAACAAACCAAAACAACAACAAAAAAACCCCAACCTAGAAACATAAAAGAGTTAATGCTGTATCTGACAGCTTGCCACTTTTTTTTCATTTAAGCTTCATGCTTTCCTTTGAGTACAAAACAATTTACCACAGAGAATTCTAGACAATAAAACCATCTCATTTTAGCTACCAAATATCTTTTTTTTTTTTCCCCAGGATTCTAGACAATAGAAAATGGGTTTGACAGGTGAAAAATTATTTTCTAATTGTTCTGATGAAGGTAAGACAATAGCATTTTAAGCATTTACTGTAAGACAATGTTCTATTATATCAAATGTTAATGTAAAATAGAGTCTTGAACTAAACCCCAATGAAAAATTCATAAAGAGATCAATGGAATGGCAGACAATGTATCTTAAGTCATAGGTTTACTGCAGCTTTGAAGATCTAAAGATACAGAGAAATCAAGGTTTATAATGATAGATATAATAATTTATCAGGCAAGCTAATCGAGATGGAAAAGCAATCTTTTGGGGTTACATGAAGAGAAGCTTTACTGTTTTTTTCAAAATAATGCAATAAGTACTTTAAAAAAAAGTCAATTAGCAGGAAAACAGAACAACAGAGCTGTTACCTTCACTCTCGCCAGGTCATGGGGATTAAGGACTGAACCCTGATAAAATTCCACCTGAGTGAAGTGTCGTTTAAAAAGAGCTTCCAGCTCAAGGTTAGGGGAGATACTGCATTGGGAAGAGGAAGAAAACACAAGAGCAAATGAGAACTCAACTTCCGTAACTGCCCCGTTTCCTTCATTTGCAAACCAGCCCATTTAGTTATTTTAGGTGTTCAGAGTCCTGTTGATGCTTTTCCTGTGGTGTGGAAACAATGTGCGGTACTTATAAGAGAACTTCTATACTGCTTTTGCTTCCTTACTTCTATTTACAGAGCTTCTGGCCCACTTCATTGTGCTACTCTGCACGTTCATCATTTGTCCCCTTCTCACAGATGCGAATCGAGAATTGGTGCAAACATCTGAAAACTTCCCCACACAGCATTCTCCTCAGAAATTGCCCAGTAGGATAATCATCCTTTGCATGTCCCCACCATTGTCAAATTGGTGATCGCGATTGTTTGCAATTGGTGATTGCATTGTCAAATTTCTGATTGCAACAATAAGAAAGCTCAATGCAAAATCACTAACGGCTAGAAATGGAACCCTATATGGAACCCTGTGGCCTGTATGAGCTACAATTAAAACAAACATAATTATGCTGCGACTTGCTGTGTCATTTCATTTTGCCATAAACAAAAAAAATTAAATGGATCACTATTATATAATGTGGCACCGACCTCATAGATACCTTTTCTGATGCCACTCATTAAAACAGAAGGCATTTAATAGCTACATAGTAAGTATATGAGATCTTTGTCATGCCAGATGTTAAATTCAATATGAAAATAAAATAGATATATGCAAATATTTGTTTGTGAAGGTACAGAAGAAAGCAAGCACAAACAAGTAGCCAGGCGATAAACTCTCTTCAAGTGCATATGCAGTTCCCTGATTCCTATCACCATGTATTTTCACCGCGGAAATCTAGATCTCTGCTTTCCTCTGACAGTCAATTCTTGTTATTACTTAGGGAGGGGAAACAAACAATGTAGTTACCTGAGGATATCATCTTTAGTTCAATTTGAAAGGACTAGAGGAAAGAATTGTGCAAGTGCTGCCGATTCTTAGATTTTCAGCTTCCTTTTTAGTAATTTTCCTTGACAAGGAAAGTACAGAACTTGCTGCCAAATGCAAAAATATTACTCGTTCATGGCTTGCAACACTTCTAAACAGATTCTATTCCAGAGCAGAAAAGACCTTTCATACTGCCTCTCTCTCTAGCACATGGACATTTCTAGCAGCAGGCATGCCTATATGGTGTCATACTACAGGCAATGCAGAGTCTGCAACAAACAGCAACCACCTTAAGACAGCTTTCCAAACCCCACATCAGAAAAATGAAAGAGACTATGTGTATGTATACATACTATATGTATATACAGTTAGAAGAGCAGTACTAATTATCACTGTGACAAGAATTTCTTTTCTGCCTTCACTGTATCTGCAAAGTAATGCATCTCATTTATATTAAAACTCAATGAGGAAGCTGACAGAGCTTCTACTGAGGGAGCTGGTGGCAGTGCTCACCAAGCAACTTTCAACCCTTTATCAGCAGTCCTGGCTAACTAGGGAGGTCCCAACTGACGCGAAGTTAACAAACGTGATGCCCATACATAAGAAGGGCCAGAAGGAAGATCTGGGGAACTACAGGCCTCTCAGTCTGACCATGGTGCAAAGGAAGGTTATGGAGCAGCTGACCATCATATGGAATGTACAGGACAAGCAGGTGATCAGGCCCAGTTGGCATGGATTTATGAAAGGCAGGTCCTGTTTGACTAATTTGATCTCCTTCTATGACAAGGTGACTCGCCTAGCGGATGAGAGAAAGGCTGTGGATGTTGTCTACCTAGACTTCAGTAAAGCCTTTGACACCGTCTCCCACAGCATTCTCCTGGAGAAACTGTCTGCTCATGGCTTGGATGTGTGTACTCCTCACTGGGTAAAAAAACTGGCTGGATGGTTGGACCCAAAGGTGAACAGAGTTAAAATGAGATGGCGGCCAGTCACAAGTGGTGTTCCCCAGGGCTCAGTATTGGGGCCAGCTCTGTTTAATATCTTCATCAATGATCTGGACAAGGGGATCGAGTGCACCCTCAGTAAGTTTGCAGATGACACCAAGTTGAGTGGCAGTGTTGATCTGATTGAGGGTAGGAAAGCTCTACAGAGGGATCTGGACAGGCTGGATCAATTGGCTGAGGCCAGCTGTATGAGGTTCAACAAAGCTAAGCACTGGGTCCTGCACTTCGGTCACAACAACCCCATGCAAGGCTACAGGCTTGGGGAGGAGTGGTTCTGCTGCCTGGCAGAAAAGGACCTGGGGGTGCTGGTCTGCAGCCAGCTGAACAGGAGCCAGCAGTGTGCCCAGGTGGCCAAGGCGGCCAACAATGTCCTGGTCTGTTTCAGCAATAGTGTGCCCAGCAAAAAGGGAAAGCAGGAGTAGGGAAGTGAGTGGCACTGGTGAGGCCACACCTTGAATAACATGTTCAGTTTTAGGCCACTCACTACAAAAAAACATTGAGGTGCTGGAACCTGTCCAAAGAATGTCAACGAAGCTGGTCAAGGGTCTGGAGAATAAGTCTTATGAGGAGTGGCTGAGGGAACTGGGATTGCTTAGTCTGGAAAAAAGGAGGGGAGACACTACTCTCCACAGCTACATTAAAGGAGGTTGTAATGAGGTGGGTGTTGGTCTCATCTCTCAAGTAACAAGCGATAGGACAAGAAGAGTCTCAAGTTGCTCCAGGAGAGTTTTAGATTGGATATTAGGAAAAATTTCTTTACCAAAAGGGTTTCCAAGCATCGGAACAGGCTCCCAGGTAAGTGGTTAAGTCACCATCCCTGGAAGTGTTTAAAAGACATGTAGATGTGGTGCTTAGGGACATGGTTTAGCGGTGGATTTGGCAGTGCTAGGTTAATGATTGGACTTCATGGTCTTAAAGGTCTTTTCCAACCTAAATGATTCTATGATTCTACATCTGCACCTACATTTTTCTTTTTATAAATATTTTGCAGTATGAAATCAGCATTTTTTCCTAGTGAAAGCAAAGATGAAAATATATTTTCAGAGAGCATAAGGTCATATTACATACAGTATTTTTCACTAATTTTACTGATCTTATGATTTTTTGCTAGTTTCACTAGAAATATTTGCCACTAAAGAAAATTCTTGCACCCATTTATTAGAATTTCAGTATTTTTTATTTCATAATTTTATTCTCATGTCAACTATCTGTTCAGCTATTTACCTCACAATTGACATGATTGGGTTTGAAGTCTGTCTGCTTGAAACACCTATGCTTAGCAACGGATTATAAAAAAATTGCAGAAAACAACTCTTTTTTTCAAAATACATTGTTAACAAAAGTTATTGCAAACTTTAATTATACAGTTATTTGGAGATGAAAAGATCCTGCATCTTCCCCAAAAAGATATGGCTTAATTTAATGAGGTTTGGTAACAGATAAGTCTCTTCTTGAAAGATTACTCACTTATGCAGAAAGACGATTTCTACGTTGACATCATCCCTATCCTTGTGCAGGAAGTCCTTCAGGAAGTTGGACACACTTTCAAGTGTTATGTGACCACAGACAACTATGTGCCTGTTACAGAAAAAAACAGAGTTAATCTTTCAAAGAAGATAAAACGAGGAAGGAATAAAGCAAAGAAGGAAATTAGAATTTATTGCCCAAAAAAGAGTATTAGTCTCTTCTTGATGTTTCTCTAGATCCTCTTCCATGAAGTCAGGGAAGGAAAACATCAGTTCCAAAAGGTGCTTTGCAACTGCAAATACATATATACTCTCACTTGAAAAGACCACTATTAACAAACCATTTGGCCAAGTTGTATTACACATTTAACAGTAAGTGGCATCATTTATATATATATGTTTATACACTGTATTAACCAGTCCCTTTCAAATTCTTTATTTTATGCATTATTCAAAGTTCTTTATTTTACACATCTGTCTCCACATCTTTACCTCCTCTACCGAGATTTACTGTTTAAATTTTTGGTTTATGACACAATGAGACAGCAAATCTCCCTAAAATGATTCAATACTTTTCTATGTTGAAAGCAGACACTTAACGCCAATGAAGGCAGTGCAAAGCTTGCCAATTATAGGCCATAAGCAGTAAAAAAGAAATCTTTTTCCTAACATAACTCCTACAAGGAGAGTACTTTACAATAAGAAATCATTATTTTTTGCACTATCGCAATGGATTGCTTAGAAAATCAAAGTTTGCACAGACTGTGATATCACAAATGTTTCTACTGCTCCACATTTCTATTAATAGATGTATCTGACCATGCAAGATGGAAGCACAATATATACCTACATACCCATTCTTGAATTCCACATTGTTAAATTCCGAGAGGCTGAAGAAAAAGCCTAGGAAATTGCACTCTTCCTGACTTAAGGCATCTTTGCTCCTTTATTATTTTAAAGCAAACTCCAAAAATTTGTGATTAGAATATCTTGCATTGTCTCACAATTTCCTTCATGGAATAAACTCAACCTTGGCTTCCATTACTGTCATGGGTTTAAGACAGATGGTGATTTTGGTATGTCTGTTGCTAACAGTTCCAATTACCACATTGCTCACAGAAGTCAGGAAGACAGACAAGGTGGTATCGATACAATTCCTGAACTAACAGAAAGTCAATTTCATTACAGTTACATAGGCTATGCACAAACGCTACAAACACACAATTTCATTATTTGGCACTTGAACTGCCAAACGTGAAGCAAAGTCATTCCACGGGTAACAAGCAGACCAACCAAGTTTCACCTACTTCATAATTGTTCTGTGGAAAACTCAGTAACTCAGAAACCTCATTGGCTGGAAACAACAAATAAGAGGTGGCAGCAATGATCCCTTATGTAATGGGCTATAATAGGAGTGTGTTCTTGCTTCATAATTTGATGCTTGATGAAATGTGTGTGAAAAGTGCATAGAACTCATTGGAAAATGGATAATTATGCAGAACAAAGAATAAATCAGTAATATCAATCACACAGTGAATACCACCACCGGTTCAGATGGCCACTAAAACAGCCAAACACACTAAACTGTTATACCTGTCCGGCACACTTTATGATATTGTTCTACTACTACTACTTTTATAAATGGCATAACACACTTTTAATGCCTTATTTAGAAATATAATAAACTCAAACACTCCTTTTGCATGAGTCTTTAGTGACATCAGCAGGACTCAGATGTAATTTTAGAAATAGCAGTCAAAAATTTCAATGGTTTCCTTCTTTTTAACAGGCAAGGAATATATGTTTATATAAGAGACTGATCATGCTGGTTTGTATTGAACATAGGACTCAATACTATGAATTCCTATTGCTAAACTAGTTATCCAGGGTGTCTGCTTTGGCTCCAGTAAGATTTTGCTCAATTTTAACCTAAGTTTTTGGTGCAGTAAGTGCACAGAGCAGTGAGTTCTCAGGCTGCAAACACTTAAAACCACAAAACTCCCTGAGTTAGACCTTTCCTGTTTTATGAGGTGGTAAGCACAATATCAGAAAACAAGACATAAAATATATTAGCTCATCCTTTTTTGGTGCAAAGTGTCCTTAAGAGGATTCCTCTGGGATCTTTGGCAGCTTGGCAGACTTTGCAGCAGCCTCTGTAGTGGATAAAAGCATGCCTATATTCCCCGCTTCAGAAGCACTCTTCCTCAGTTTCCCTAGTGGGCAGTTGCCTGCGCTGCCAGCACCATGTGTGCATGTGTTACTGCACTCACAGTTAGGATAATAATCTTCAACACAGAAGGGTAAAATATTATTTCAAGCATTAAGATTCACTCCCCATGAAATGGATGAATCTCCATCCAATAAATCAATGTAAATGGAAAACCTCAGGAAAGTTCAGATTCTGAAGAGATGTTTAAAATCTTAGTAGTTTACTAGATCTAAATTCTGAACGGACTGTGTTTTATACACTAACATATTGGGAAGTTCTAGCTGTCTAGTGGTGTTCAGCACTTTTCCTGAGTGTAAAACCATCTAGCATCAAAAACCGCATAGGCCAAAGAAAATGATAAACAGCAGCTAAAAATATTCACTTACATACCTTATACTGTCTGTACACATTTTCTAAGATGACTAATTTTAAACTACAGGTATTATTTTTCTAAATGTTTTCATCTATTACAAATTAAGAAATTAAACTTTCCATTTGCATAGTTAATGCATTATTTTAATAGATATAACAAATAATAGAAATAATTTCTCGTTGCCGATCCTGTGCTGTTAGATTTACCAGGGTCTCTTCCTGAACGCTCTTGTACTGCACTGCATTCCTGTGCAGAAAACTGACTTCCTCCCTGGGAGATTTCACTTCATATGGGTTCTTTTCTGTCATTAATTAGAGTCCACATTTTGAAAATATGGGTAAACTGAGAGAAAAACTACAATCTAGACAGAGTGTGCAACCCAAATTACTCTACTGCATAAAAAATTTTCATAGGATCATAAGATTATAAGATAATTCAGGTGGGAAAAGATGTCCAGAGGTTATCTACTCCAAAAGTTTCCTGCTAAAAGCCGGTGCATTTGGTACAATAATTCAAACCTGTTAAGATTCTCATTCAGTAGGGTTTCGTATCAATCTGCTCCAGTGAAATTAAAACATTTGGATGTCAACTACTCCTGCATTTGAGCATCACGACTGATTCTTTTGGAAGTTCAGAAGGCATCTGCACCATGGTTTCATTTTAGCACTCTGGTTTGGGTCTGGATGTGATCTATTCCTCTCTTCTTTGCTATTCTTAAATAGTGCAAGACAGCATCCTGAGCAGTGATTGCAACAAAAATTCCTGGCTTTCAAACAATGTTTTCTGATGAGATACTTGCATTAATTTTTGCTTGAAAATTTCCACAAAAAATGTCCCAGTAACATAAATTATATTTTTACTTAGAAGTAGAAGAAATTAAAAACAGATTTCCTACTTGCCCAGAGAGAGTTATTAGGTACATTATTTAAGAAAACTTGGAAAGCTTATATTGTTCCAATCTGTCCTCTATATGATCTGAAGATTTATAACTTCCACTGTTTGTCCCAATAACCATTCCTTTCCCATGTAACACCCATTTTTTTCCATGCACCAAGACTTTAAGTAAAGCCAACATACTGGGTATCTTTTGCTTTCAGACAGAGTTGGTCAGTAGGAAAATATTATACTAATTATTGTGGGGACAACAGAAAAGTCTAACCTCTGCATTAAGCTTTTGTTTATGAAAAACTTCAAAAATAATACAGTATTCAGATAAATTATTATGATTTCCAATTTTTTTTTTCATTTTTAAAATGAAATTTAGAAATTCCCTTACAATACTGAAAACTACAATTCAGGAATTCAGACCTTTATATTGCTGATAAATATTCAGGGGGACTAAGGTTTCTGTTAAGTAATAGTTGTCATTGGTATCATGTATCACAGGTGACACTGGTTTAATTGGTTTAATATACCAGTGGGAATCCACATTACACGACTGTGACACTGCAAAAAGATTCTTTTACAGAGAATCAAAAGCTTACCAGGAGCCATATTCTGTCAAAAAGGCCAGACTGATCCATTCTCTCCCATATGTACTTATCATTCTCAAAATTAATTACAGTGATCAAATTAGCCAGTTTAAAACAAAAAAAATTAGTACAGTTCTACACAGTTGATTTCAACTGTGATTCTACACAGTTGAAATTCTCTACAGTGCCTAAATTTTTTTCCACTCAAGTATTGACATAATGATGCATTTGCTAAAAATAGACTAGCTTCTTATAAAGTAAAAAAGAATGGTGATAAAAGCTCCAAAGTTACCACAGATACAAGCACTTTCAGGAAGCAAAAAATGAAATAAGGAAAAGCTAAAACATCTAGAATTCCGACATGAAATAATTGAGAACACACACTTAATCCATGTAAACAGCACTGTAAATGAAAACAGATCCACTCTGAATAGGATTCTTCAAAAAGGACCTTTGCATGGTTCTTCCTTCAGAGGACAGAATACAAAAGGCAAATCTTTTGCATGTTTATTTTGAAAGAAATTATATCCGTTTTATTGGAACAAGTATAAAGAACTTGAAAAAAACTCATTCTAACTAGTCTGGCATAATAAATCAAAGTTAATAAATACATAATTCTGCTCAGCATTCAGTTGAATACATGGTGTGCACTTGTCAAGTAACTAAATGAAGTGTGGCGCATATTGATCTAGATGTCTCTATAAAACTATAATATTTATATTAAACACATATGCAGAAATCTCTTTATGGTCTTTCTGCTTAGTGTTCTGATCATGCGTTCATCTATTAGCCATCTAAATTCTTTCTTTCTATACCAGTAGCGGGATGCTGTGGGTGAAGTAAACAGGTTCTTGCAAAATCTAACTGGTTTTCCTCAACAAAAGATGGGTCTTAGTCACTTTTTCTTCTTAAGAAGAGTCAGTAAATGTCAACAGAGACTGTGCATATGGTCTTATGGTCTTCTTGTTTATCTATTAGTGGTATGCATTCTTTAAATATAGCAGTTTACAGCACATTTCTAGCTGCTTGTGCTTTTCATGATTTACCTAACATTGCTC